TGCCCCCCCAGACTCGAGAGGCACCAGTTGTCCATGCTGGAAAGCATGCTGGGAGGCTGGGGGACTGTGATTTAACATGAACCTAAATCAATTAAGTCTGATACTACCTTCAGCCAGGTTTATTTTAAACCAGTTTCAGCCATTTTGAAACTGGTTTATATGCACTGAACTTCTGTTCTGTTACAGGTTTAAACTAGTTTCTGATCACTTAATTCAGTTTGTGTGTAACTTCTGTTCCTAGCCTAAATGCTCAAGGCTACAAGTGAGAAAGTAACAGTGGAGAAAAAAACACCTGGTTATAGCTAGCTCACTCTCCTTTTCAGCATCTACCCTCTGCAACTGTGTGACACAGGAAACTAGGCAAAATGGATCAGTGGTCTGACCCAGTAAATGGTAGTTCTTATGTTCTTATATATGTTGTAAGATAAGTAGGAGCAATTAGATCATCATCTGAAATTAATATTGCAGGACCCTAAATTTGTAGTGTTCCCAATAAGAATGTTTAACTGAAGCATATCTTCTAGAAAGGCATCCAATTTTGATTTGAAGGTACTGACAGGGATAATCCATGATTTCCCATGGTAGTTTGTTCCAAAGGTTAATCACATTTGCTTGTTGCTGTTTTTTTAAAGATGCCGTATTTAACCTCTAAATTTTTCAGGCTTGATTTTTCTACCCAGTGTTTCTTGTTATGTCTTTCTCTAGTAGATTGAGGAATCCTATAGCATCTATTATTTTTATCTTCCATGAAGGTAGTTATGTGCTGTAATCAAGTCACCTCTCACTTCATAAACTGAAGGGAATTGAACTTAGAGTCTTTCATACTGCACTGTTTATTAGGGCCGTGTGAAGCTTCAGTCGCTGATTTGATTTGGCAGAGATTTGGCCCAATTCAGTGGCAAAATTTCTGAATCGAATCATGAGACCCTTTAATCTTTCTGAATCGAATTGGAAGCCTCTGAATTGATTCAGAAAGATTCAGTGATTCAGACATAGATGCAGCTTTAAATGTTTTTTCTCCATACTTCTAGGTAGCAGGCAGCTCATGAATGCTGCAATGCTGGGGCAGATGGAGTGGACCACAGGAATGCAGGGGGTTCCCCAGCGTGCTTGGCAACAGACCTGAAAGTGGACCAGAAACACTTCTGGTCCACTTCCGGGAGCACACTGAGGGTCCTCTTGTGCCCCCGCCTTGACAACTGGTGCCTCCTAGGTTTGTGGGGGGGGGGCATGCAGGGTGCCCCCGGGGCCAATTGCTGAGCTGGGGAGGTGCTGGGGGTCCCCTGGCTTGCTCCCCGGCGGACCTAGAAGTGGACCAGAAGTACTTCTGGTCCATTTGTGGGTTTGCTGCTGAGCATGCAGGGGGCCTGCCACGCTCCTATGGGACACTCCATCTGTCCCAGCATTGCAGTGTTCACAAGCTGCGCCTGGTACCTTGAGGTGTGTAGAAAAAACATTTAAAGCTGTGTTTATGGCCAAAACGCTGATTCTCTCAATCAGCATCAAATCTTCACTTTCAGCCGAATTGAATCAGGAACAGTGATCCGAACCAACGAACCAAATCATTGTCCCTGATTCAGGCTGAATCCAAATTGAATAGGGCCTGTTTTGCACACCCCTACTGTTTATACTGTAAATTTAAAGATCACATTTATCTTTATTTTACCCCAGTATGGCACCATAAAGCATTTTCCGTAGGCCTCAAGTCATTTTTATCTCTTTTCTGTACAGTCTCCACTTTTTCAAAACTTTTAAAAATGTGGTTGTGAGAACCATACACAATTGTCAATGTCATATACTGATATAAAATCACCTTCCCAGTTGCTGTGCCACTATTTACAGGTTTAAGGATCACATTAGCCTTTTTATACCACAGCATAGTATTGGGAGCTTATGTTGAGTTGCTTGCCCATTGTGACCCCTGATCCTTTTCAGTTTCTATTTTGCAAAACATCCCCCTCCTCCTTTCTGTAGGTATCACCTGAATTCCTTGCTCACAGATATTCCTAAATCTGATTTTGTTTGAATAGGCCCATTTAATGAAATAGTTCAGATCACTCACTGCCTTGTTTTCCTCATTCCTTACCATGTTGTTATACTGTATTTATTTCCAAATCATTTGTGGAACATGTTGAATAATGTCAGATCTCATACCATTCTCTGAGGAACCTCACTAACCACACCCCAGTTCAGTGACGATTCCTACTTTTTGCAATGTGTTGGTTGTTTCTTAACCCATTTAAGGAGTGAGTTACTGATATTATATACGGGTAATTTTCTTAATTAGCATGTCATATGGTACTAATGAGATGCCTTGCCATAGTTCAATTACATTACATCTATGTAGTTACCTTTACTAACCAAACTTGTAAACTCATCCAAGAATGTAATGTCATTTGACAAGACCTAATTTCTATAAAAACTCGTTGACTAGCATTACACATATTTGTCCTTTCATTCTCTATCCATGGAATTTCATTCCAGCTTTCCCTTTATTTTACTAGTGGCTAATGGCATGCTAATTCATCTTTAATTACCTGGATAAACCTCCTTGCCTTTCTTGAGTATAAGCATTATTCACGTAATGTTATTCTGCAATTGCGCTGGTATGCAAGGTTTATTGAAAATTAATGTTAACTGGGCAGAGTTCTCCTTACCTAACTCTTTTAGGGCTCTTGCATGCTGGTTATTTGGAGCTATTTAAAAAATAGCAAGTTTGCGGTATGGTTTAGAGGTGCCTAATCAGCATGTCTAGGTTAGCTCTGTTACAAAATCATGCATGTAATGTATGCATAGTTTGAAATGTTGTAACATAGTTTAAAACTTTGGGTAAGGTAGGGTGACAAGGTTACAGCACAGACTTTCCAAACCTGCGCTTGGGCATATGGAACTGAATATTTCCATGACCTTGTCTCCTCCTCCTCTCTTTTTCACTCAATTTTTTTCCTTCCTGATGTTTTTGTAGGTTCATCAGTGACCCAGTTGATTGCCCGGGACCTAGACAATGACCCCCTGGTGTATGGTGTTGTTGGGGAAGAAGCCAGCAGGTTCTTTGCAGTGGAGGGTGTGACGGGAGTTGTATGGCTCAGGCAGCCCTTGGACAGAGAGGTATTGCCATTTTTCTCTTCTTATTCTCTGTGGAGGGGTCTGTAACTGGACAGCAGAAGAAAACTCAGGGAATCATGAGTTAACATCAAATTGTTCCTCCGCTGCTTTCTGTTCATCTCTTAGGCCATGGACAGATGAATAATTATACTGCTTTAAAGTGTACACATGAAGGGATTACTTACTGCTTGTGAGTTTTCTCTCCATTGATCTGTGGTAACCTTTTTAATCTGTTCACTCTTGTATCCCAGTAGTTTACCCCTGAATAAAATTTATATTTGATTTTGGTGGTTCACCTTCCACTTACTGCAGGATAGATTAGACAGACAGAATGGTTACAGTGAAATCAGCTGCATCACTATAAATCCTGTCCTCCTTTCCAATCAGTGTAATTTTTTTCATCTGTTCATGCCCTAAGGATCATACTGTTGGAAAGGATCTCAAAGGGTACCTAATTAAACCTGGTGCACAGATGCAGGATTTTCTGTCCCATATCTTATCAGGTGGATGTCTCCAGCTGCTTCTTGAAAACTTCCAGTGAAGGACCTTCTGCAACTTTACTTCAATTATAGATGCTCTGATCCCAATTGTTTTCTTCTTACTGATGTCAGAGTGGCAGTGCTGAGAATTGGACCCTTGTCCTTACTGCAGGGCTTTGATCACAAGGGGATTTTCCCCAGGCCACTATACTGTGCTGCCAGTATTCACAGGCACCAAGACAGCGTCTGAGGATAGCATCTGTCAAAGTAGGATATTGCCTATGAAAGTTCATGCCTCTCTAAATCAGTTAACCTCTAAGGTGTCACCCTTCCCTATCCTCTGCCTGACTTCAGACTAACACAGGGGTGCTCAGTCCCCAGCCAATGGGCCAGATCTGGCTTGTGAAGCTGTGTGATCTGGTCCATGGAGCTCCCAAAGCATCTGGCAATTTGACAGTAGTGGACTGATGTCAATTAATGTGGCTGTCACTCCCCTACCACCACATTTCCAAGCCCCACAAGCCAGATAACATGGCTCCATTCACAGGATCAGGCCAGTGGGTGTGGAGCTGGGGTGATGAGTCTGATCTGGCATGGGTGGGGCTGGGACTGTGGCTGGGGTGGTGGGCCTGGTCGACATACAACCAGCCAGGGCTGGGGCCTGATTAGCACATCTGCTTTGGTACCTGGGTTATTTCATTGATTATCTCTGTATGGCTTTGTATTGTGTCATGTAGTTTTTCCATATAAGTAGATAGGAATGTTTGAGGTAAGAAAAGACGGAGAGGATGTGGGGCAAAGGCTGGGAAGTTCAGGAAGATGCAGGGTAAAAGTGAGAGGACAAGGGAGTCAGTGTGGGGAGAACGAGAGGGAAGGGGGGTGGGATGTAGAGGAATGTGTGACAGGGGAGAAGAGGTAAAGTTTGTAAGCTCTAGGGCTAGGCCATGGTGACTGGGGTTGAGGAAGGCTTATATGTATGAGTTAGATTGGAGTTGTGGGAGAGAAGCCTACATATGTGACTTTATGTATTGACTTGGTTGGGAAGGCAAGTTGGTAAAGTGCCAAAAAATATGGAAGGAGGGGAAAAGCAGAATTGTGCATATGTAATTTTTTTTGTGGGTGAGGAAGAAGTTTCTGGTAGGGACAGCAAGTGTGTCTGTGTGAGAGAGAGAGAAGGAGCAAACTTGAAAATGGAAAGAATTGAAATAGATTAGGAACGGGTGGTGTAGGACATGAAAGAATGATAGAGGGAGTAGGTAGAGAAAGATACATAAGAAAAGTGGAGAGGAAGCAAAGGAAAGTGATTAGTTATTGTATAGTATAAAAAATTATATTAGAGGGGGAAAAGATGGGAAAGTACTGGAAAAGATGAGAGAAATTGCAGAGGAATGGAAAGGATAGAATAAATGGAAAAGAGCAAATGAAAGGGAGGCAAAGTAATTCTTTAAAAGATTTTATTTAATGGATACTTTAAAAGCAAAATGACTCCATAAAAAAACAAGTCTAAAAAGTAATGTGATAAAATAAGCTGTAAGGACAGAAATTAGCCTGGGGCAGTCCTGGCTGGCTGTTCTGCCTCTGCCCTCACTTGTCTTGTTTGTATTCAACAGAATTTTCCCTTCAGTGCCCCCCTTCCCCAGTTTTCTCTTCCCATGATAACACGTGCCTGGGGAAGGGGCAGCAGAGGGTGAAGAAAAGATGATGCAGGTGATTCACAGCTTCTATACTTGGCCTTTGGGCTGCTCAGATTGGCTGCAGGCATTGCCCTGAGGCAAAAACTAAATTCCACTTCAGCATTGAAAGTGAGCCTCATTTGAGTTTTCGAGTGGGGCCAGAGGGATGTGTGGGGTGGGGGGGTGGGACATGAATTCATAAACTGCCCCTGAAAATGCCTTGAAGGTAAACGGCAATCCTGGCATCAGAAAGGTGAAGTTGCAGTTCTGAGAACTGGAGCTGGCTGGCCATCCCTAAGCCGCCTTATTGGGAATAAATCAACCAAGGCTGCAGCACATAGAATCATTTCAAGCTTGCTTTCAGGTGATTCCTGTACAATGCTTCTAGTGTGCTTATCACTCCACTCACATGACAGTAGTAGTTGAGAGGCACTGAAGCTGTTGAAGAAGGAACAGGAGAAAAGAAAGGCATTGCCAGATGGCTGATTGGGACTTTGGGTCAAGTGACACCAGATGGTGCCCGGATAACGGATCGTTTTATTGCAACATTTTGTGGTGCTCTCCCTAGTCCCACGTGATTTCTTTGGCAAGATTTCACTTCCCTCAAAGGGACAGTGAGCGATGGGAAGGAGATAGCCAGGAAGGAAAATTCCTCCCACCATCTTTTCATCTGGCCCTCAGTGCCCTAGTGTCTTAATGCCTTTTGCATATTTCAACACAGATATAACTCTCTTACTCTCTGCCTCCCTCCTTCCTCCCCCAGTGCCTTTCTTTTCCAGCACAAAGAAGAAATTACTTGATTAACTTAGTTACGTTGTTACACAGCTAGCAGGTTTGTGATGCAAGCATTGCACTTCCTGCAGCATCAGTTATGAGCCATTGCTTCAGGACAGGGTTCTGAAATTAATAAAGCAGTGGTATGATCTAGTAGAGCAGACAAATTCTGTGATCTGTGTACAGCAGGTGGAAACCCACACTCACCCCCTAGGGTTGGTGGGGGGCAGAGTGGCAAAAGATTATATGTTTGTAGGCTTACAGGTCTGGGCCCATAATACTATTAAATAAACCTTAATGCCATGTAAGTAAGAAAGGAGAGCTGAAGATTTTAGTCTCATGGACAATAAAATATTTGAGAAAAGAAAAAGTTATGTACTCCAGACTGGGACAGGTATTTGGGGGTTTTGCTTTCTCTTGAGTCCCTGGTGTCCTCCTGTGTTAGTCATTAATGGTGTCATAAGTTCAGGGTATTTCATTTCTTAGATGACCCCATAAAATCAATTGCGTTTAAAAAAAAAATTTGAGGCATGGGTAAATTGACTTTTGCAACCCTTTCCCCCCCACAGCCTTTCAGCCCTATTTTCCAAGTATAGACCATATATTGTGAGATGGATAGTTCCTCTAATTGTATAACACCAGAAACTGCTGCATGGCAGAGTAAAATGAGGAGAACAATGACATTCTTTGGTTGTCTTTAGTGAGATGAGTTCAGTATTCTGATGGTTTAAGTTCATCACAGTGCCTGCTTTTATCCTTCGCTTCTCACATCAGTTTTGTATCCCTCTGCCAGAAACAGAGGGCATCCAGCTTTCTGTCGAACACTACAGGTTCATAGGCTACAGCTGGCTCATGGTCTCTTGCTGTAAGGAAAGTGTTTCTTTCTTGCACTTACTTCTTTTAGCTGCTACTGCATATGGCTTTTGTTGTCAGGAGCACAGGATCTTCAGTAATAACCCTGGCTATAGATGGCACAGTGAAAGAGGTTAAATACCAGTCTCCTCTGATCTGTATGAGTCTCATGAGCTACCTGCGAACTGTTTAGTATGCTTAGAAGACAGTAGGGAAAATGGGCTCCTTTAGGACCTTCCACTTACTGATGCAGGGAAGAGCTGTCTCTTGTGCATAGAAAATGTGCAGGGGCCCATGTCATTAATATATCTGAGCATCCATTCTTGTGCACAATATAGGCAATTGCACTGGGGGCCCTCCTTCTTCCACCTCAAGGCCGTGGAAGTATTTTGCATGTAATAATATTCGGCTGAAATCCAAAGCCTGCTGTCCATAGATAAACACTACAGTATCTCCTAATTATATGTTTTTCTTCTTTTTCCATTTCAGACTAAGTCAGAATTCACAGTTGAATTTTCTGTCAGTGACAGCCAGGGGGTAAGTGCAACTTTTTTCATTTTGTGATCTAAGACAAGAAAAGAATTTGGGGAGAGAGTACTGGTGATAGGGGGGAGCTCACAGCTGCTGCAGTCCTAGCCTCTCTCACATTTGGGGAGTGGAGGGGAGGACTACACAGTAGAGCAGAAGAGTACTGGTTGGGAAGGCATGTAGATATTTCAGTCCCATCCTGTTTCAGCAGGTTTCTGTAGGACACAGTGTAGAAGTTGGGGCTGACAAATGATTAAAAAAATTAATTGCAATTAATTGCAAGATTTAAAAAAATAGTTGCAACTAATCACAGTTTTGATTGCAGAGTTAAACAATAGTCAGCATCACCCTCCCAACCCAACAGCTTGGAGCCTGTGTGCCTTGAAGCGCCTTCGCCGCCCCCCCCCGACAACACATGGCCCTGGCCCCCAGCCCACCCCATACCTGCTCTGAACTTGTGCCAGCTGGAGCAGATCAGGTGGAATCCATGTGTACAGGCCTGATCCCAGCCCACCCTGCATCTGCTCCAGACTCCCCCACCCATGCTAAGCAGCAGTGGCAGTAGCCGGGCACAAGCTGTTGCTCAGTGTAGGGGAAAGTGGCCCCTCCGCTTTGCCGCTGTTGGGCCCTTCTTGCTGTAGCTGTCCGGAGCTTGCACTTGGACTAGCCTGCAGCTCTTCTGTACTGCCCAGAAGCAGCAGTGACAGATTGGTGTTGCAGGGCAGCCCGGGTGCAGGCTCTGGGCAGCTGCAGCAAGAAGGGCCCGGCAGTAGTGACGGGGAGGGATTACTTTTCCCTTGTGCTGAGCAGAACCTTCTGCGTGGCCACTGCCACTGCTACTGCCACTGCCCAGCATGGGTGTGAGGTCCAGAGCAGGTGTGGGGTGGGCTGGGGTGAGGGCTGTGTATGCAGGTTCCAGCTGGTTCAGAGCTGGTCCACTCTGCCAGGCCAAGTCTGGAGAGGGCATGGGATGGACCATATTTTGCCCACCCTGGTCAAAATGGATGTGTGTGATTAACATCAGTTACAAAAATTAACATGTTAATTTGTTTTGCATTAATCGCATATGTTAACTGTGATTATTTCTACTAGGGCTGTCAGTTAAAGGCACAAAACATTTTACTTTTCCTGAAAAGCTTCAGGGACTAGTGAAAAAAAAACATTGATTCTGGGAACATGAGAGCTACAACACTACCATCTACCCTACAAGGGGAGCTCTAAGGAGTGGTGTGGTCATGCTGGATACTGGGCAGTAGACAACCTCAACCAGCAGGAGACATTGTAAGAAATGTGGACCTCCAACTGTATCAGAGAAAGGAAGAGAATGAGGCACCCATGGCTCTAGGGAAGGGGTTACTTGCTAAAAACATAGTCTCTTCTTGCCTGGATCAGCCAGTCTACTCTGTCCATTTTCTGAAATCTTTTGAAGATGAGGCAGATGCTCAGGAGTTTGATGACAGTGTAACAGCTGTATGTTCTAATTCTTCTGGCTATAGGTGATCAAGGGGACAGTGAATATCCAAGTGGGAGACGTGAATGACAATGCTCCAACGTTTCATAATCAGCCTTACAGTGTCCGCATTCCAGAGGTAGGAACCTGGATTTGTTTGGGGGAGATTCCTTCCTTGAATGCTTTATTCCCCCCACCCCTCAGCGCAAAATTTGTCCTCTTGTTTCAGTATAAAAGGAGTAGACCTGCTTATACTGCCGTGTAGTAAGATTATTGGTTCCTTTGATGTCTGGGTCTCAGTGATGATCTCTGACTTTTCTGCCTGCCTCACATATGGAATTCTGTGAAGAATGAAGTCCTTGAAAGTGGTCATTGGTTTCAGAAATGCAGGAGCAAACTTTGGGACAGAGCAAAGCCTGAAAATAATCCTAAATGGGAATCTAGATTTTGCTTCCACTTTCCTTGGGTAGAAGGAATAAGGAAGCCCTTCTGTGTTCATTTTTTGTAGAAGTAAATGTTCCAGCAGGCCTTTCTAGTTGTGTCAAACTCTGGGAAAGTTGCGCCTGCATGATTCTGCACTCTCAGATAGCTTGGCTCCTCACACAGCTCTCCCAAGGAGGGAAATGTTTCTTTCAGGTTAGTTTGGCCATCCTGGCTGCCACGAAAAAGGTAACCTCTGGTTTTGTCACGAAGGGAGATGACTGTGTGAGCTCAGTATTGTAGCATAGTACAAGGAGCTAATCATCTGGTGGAGACTTAGGACAAGCTTCAGGATGACTAGGTATAGCCTGGCAGCATGTATGGGAGGAAGTGGCTATCCCTGGTACTTTTGGGGAATTTTAGACAAATAGATTGAAATACAGGTTTGCACTAAGTTTACCTCTTCCCTGGTGGATGCTGGGCTGTACCCTCTTTTCCAAGTCTGGAGGATTCCTCTGTCTGGGCAGTACTAGAGCAGGCTTGTTCCTGGAACACTCATCTGAGTACGGATGAGAATAGGAGAATATCTGTCCTTATGTGTGAAATCAAACTGTCTTTGGTAATTGAGAAGTATAAGATATTGCATTACAAATGGCATGTTAATATGCTAATTGCTGGCAGCCAGCTGTGCTAGGACTTCAATCTTTTTCCATCCCTCTCTCCCATTGGGGTGACACTTTTTTAGTTAGTCAGCCTCCAGTTTTAGTCCCATTAACTCTGTCTGATTATGTCTAAAGGAAGTTGTCTGAGATCACTGTGTCAATGAAGCTGGGTCAAAGGCATTTCTTATTTTTTCAGAATGCAAACTTTAAAGAAACAACTCAACAATAGTTGTATCATCTACTTCCTGCATCTCCTTGGGAGTGACTGGTTCTCTCTTTCTGCTGATGCTCTGTACAGTGATATGCCTGAAAAAGGATTTTATAGCTGGTTTGTGAAATGAAATGGCTGCCTATGTTAGACATGCCTGTTTTGTCTCCAGAAGGCCACTCTGTGATATAGGCGAATATGGATTGATTTTAGTTGAATTCATGTCCTTTCTTGAACATAGAAAACTTCATTTTCTGTTCCTCTCCTCCTCTTTTCAAGTGGTTTTCCCATTTACAAAAGTAATGCACTTCCCCCTTGAATATTATAGGTAGGTCCAGAAAATAATATTTTCCCTACTTTACTTTAGATTTATCTGTTATATATTCTTATTTATGGTGTCTGATGGAAAGGGCTCCCTTCTCATCATGAAGAGAGAAATGGGAACTGGATTTCTAATCCAGTGTCATTCCTGGTGGGTTTAAGCCCCTGTGTTAGTATAGCTGAAGTAGTTGCACTCATTCTCCTCTCACTTGTGGCTTGCCCCATCAGAACGAAGACCATAAATCTCCAGCCTTCCACATATCTTGCATTTAACCTGCCGGTATTGACCTTTGAGAGATGGGGAAACAAAGGCCCAGTCATGGATTTGAATATTAAGGCTGGTGAGGGAAGGATTTTTGTTGGTTGAGAAAAGAGTTTGTGGCAGGAGTGCTTGATTTTAAAAAAATCTTGCTGTTGATCTGCCCTCTTTTCAGTGTGCATCTCTAGATCTGCAGTGAGGAGTTTGCTAAGAGTCCTTTGGTCTACCTCACTCTTTTGGCTGTACGGAGCATTGGGGCTCCCCATAATGCACCAGCCTTGCATCTTGACTGCCAGAGGTTGTGCTCTTTTGGAAGTTGGCCTGATCTAATTAAGGATCTTCATATGCCAATTTTCAGCTTCTGTCCACAATTTTTAACAAAGGGCATGGATAAGGGGTAATGAGCTACACACTTATTGCTCAGCCAGTATCCTGGAGGCACTTCTGCTCTACCAGGGAGATAACATTTCCATGGTGTTTTCTTTTTGTGCACTCAGGCACTGAGATAGGAGGAGAAAGTATCCTTGTTGCTCCGAGTTGGCAAGTGTTTGCCTTTCTCCTGACCACAACATCCTATTGTTTCCTGATGCCTTTTAGCTACTCCCACTTCAGGTAGGAATTTGGGGTGCAGGAGCTGCCTGCCTGTTCTGTTGGCTAGAATGGAACAAGTGAGAGAGAAAAATGTTTGGCTATGTCTGCTGCAGTCAACTGGTGCTGTGTATCTACAGCTGCCATTGACCTTACCTGGAAGAATAGATTCTTCATACCTTAGCAAATCAGACTCTGGTGTGCATGTTAAAGTGCCCATTAAGAGCTTTGTACTGGCCATGTTACCTCCAAGTGTCAGCCTGCCACTGAGTTGAAGGTAAACTCTACAGTTTTTCTTCATGTCAGCCCCAGAAATTACAGAAACCATGAACTTTATCACCAGGGATTTGGGTTTTCTGTTTTCCACAGAAAAAGATTTTAAAAAGAGTGGATTTTCCTTTTTTACAGAGGAGAAAGCAATTTTTTTTTCATTTTAACTGAGCTACCCATGGATATGCCACTTTTGCAAAGAGCTTTTTGCAGGATGGCAGAGCTCCAGCCTACAAGAGCTTCTTGCAAAAAGGGTGGCAATCCCTAAGTCCTCTCCCGAGGGGAAGAGAGATAGGGAAAAGGCAGGATGCCTGAAACTGTCAACCAGGGCTTGGCTCAGGATTGCCTTCCTTCTGGTAGGTAAATGGGATTGCAAGGGGCTGGGAGTCAGCTGGGGGCCCACTCCAGTGGGTCTGTGGGTTGGGGATGGGGGCACTGGCAGGACTGGGGAGGATCCTGTGGGGTGGGTGTGGGTGACTGCCAGGGCTGGTGGAGGTTGGAGGCTGTGAGAAGAGCCAGCAGGGTGGGTGAGTGGCAGGGTGAGGGTGTATGGGGGCAGGGGGCACTGAGGGAGTAGGGAGATGTCTGTTGGAAACACCACATGGAGGGCCAGCTTGGGCCTCAGGATGGGTGGTCTCTGTTCCTCCCTGTGTGGCTTCTATTGGAGTGCTAGAAGCCCCATGTGGAGGCATGGAGCCCACCCAGCCCAGTAGTGTGTAGCTCCCAGTCCATGCAGCATTGGGCTGGGCCAGCAGGCTCCATGCTTCCATGTGGGGCTTCCAGCACTCCAGCAGGAAGCCACCCATGAAGGCATGGAGCCTGCCCCGGCCCAATGGTGCATGGTTCCCACCTACAGTGCCACGAGCCCCACCTGCTGGCATGGAGCCAGCTTGAGTGCAAAGCTCTGTGCCAGAGGCCTGGGTTGGCTGTGTGCCAGCACGTGCAGCTCTGGGACTCAGCCAGAGGTGCTTGCTGCCAGAGACTCTTTCTGCCACAGCCATGAGATCCCCAAGCGCCTGCTGCTGCTGAGCTGCTGGTGGTGGGGGCTGTGCACTGCAAACCCCACACCCACCCACAAACTCTACACACCCCCTCAAACCCCACACCTGCCCTCAAACCCCACATACTCCCATACCTACGTCCTCCCATACCCTTTCACAATCCCCACCCCCCCAGTTATACCAAGTACCTGCATATATTTCTAAAGAAGGTTGGAATAGTGTTATATTTAGTTTAATTTGTAAAAAGAAAAACAATTAAAAGTAATTAATTTGCATAATTTTGAATTTTTCTGCATATAATTCTGAATTTTTCTGTGTATAATTCCCTGTGGTATAAAGAGTGGTCTCAGCAGGAGCTCTTCCATGATGAAAAACCCAAAATCAAATGCCAGCATATATAGGTATTTAGAATTTATTATAGTGATTGAGGCACTGTCAGGCTTCCAAATTGCTTTAAAACTGTAAATATATCAGTAAAACATTGTGTTCAACTGATACCTCTATATATAGTGGCCTTTCATTCTAATCACAGATTTGGGGGTTTTAATCAGAGAATTTGTGATTTTTTTTTTTATTGAAGAAAACCACGATTCCTGTTTATCATAGTAATATTTCCTGCTGCTCAATCAAATAGAAGAGTGTGTTGGGTGATCGGAGGATAACACACATTATTTTGTATCTCTGCAATGAAATTTGCTAAAAATTACTATGCCAGAATTACAGCCTTAATGATAGTATTTCCAAGGATGAGGGACAAGTATTGTTGTGATGGGATGCAGCAGTGATGGGTTTCAGTAGACTCTTCCCTTTGATGCTGCTTTTGATGAACAGTTGACAGTGCTAGAAGAAAGAGACATCTTTGGCAAAAAGAGCTTGCACTCCAGTTTTAAGATCAGACAGACAGACATAGTGAAACAAATAGAAGGGGAGCTCAAGGAGGGAGAACAGTTCAGCAGTACTACAAAGACAGTTTTGTATATACCAGCTATTTGTAAAACCTGGAAATAATGATGTTTTTCTGTTTTTTACTTTGAGATATGTGAATATATTTATAGCAAGTGTCCCAGCTGGAGCAGCAGGGAAAGAATTATTTAAACCTATTATCATTGTGTGGCAGTAGGGAAGTTAAAAAAAAGACTGTGCATAAATAAGTGCAATATGAAATAAACTGACCTTTAAAAATACTATTGCATAATACCATCTCTCAAAATCTGTTGGAGTTGTGAATGTGAACTATTTAGACGTGGAGTGCATTTTGCAGCTTGCCTGTTAGTGGGAGAGGGTGCGTGTGAGTGGTTTTACTGGAGAAGAAAATGGAACATTGAGCCTTGGGTTCATTCTTGCCATGTGTAGCTCTGAATCTCGGACTGGAGATGTGCAGTTGGTGCTTCAGTACAACACCTATGGCAT